CTTTATTAGCGATCGACGACAATTCTGTATTCCAGCGTGTTTCTACTAACTTTTTAAAATTTTTGACATTTCCGATCCATACCTTTTTTTCATCTTCTGTTTTACATCTAAATCCACTACTCTCCTTCAAAATCAAATGAATTAACTCATCGCACACACATTTTAAAGAAGTTCCCATATGCATTACAAGACTAGGTGCTTTAAAATTGTTATCAGTATAGTCGAAGCCGCCTATGTTTCTTGTCGCAATTACAACGTTATCAAAATTTCTAGGGTAAAGTAAATCTTTAAAGCTTACCTCCTTATCATTCGTTATTATTCTGTATTCAATTAACAAACGCGAAAGCTCTCTCATTTTGTTGCTGCAGGCGTAAATCATGCGCTCCCTCTTATGCTTTTTTAAGTATGATTCCCCGAAATGAACTATCAAAAGGTCTTTCTTTGCTTCGAAGCTTATTTCATCTGCTTTCATTATTTTGAATACTTGTTCCTTGATTCTCATTTTGGAAATTACTTTAGTAGGATCCATTGCACATGCCATTACAGTTTGTGACTGACTTAAGTGGTTAATTCTTTGTGATTCGGTGCTTCTTATTATCTTTTTACAAGAACATGATTTAGTATGTCTCCTTAAATATGACTTTAAAAACAATCCTTTGCAATATATGCAAGGATAGTACGTACTATTGTTTGCTTGAGAAGATCTTTGTTGCCTAAAAGGTCTTACAGTCCAATTAACGAAAAGCTCAAAGTTAGTATCGTGTCTCAGTAATGCAAATGCTTTACGCCTTTCTTTACTGCCTTTTGGATTTTCAAAAATTTTTACAACCTCTCTTTCATCACTATGATTTCTCTTTACATGGCGCATGAAATTTTTTGTAGCAATATCTTCACCACAATACCTACATCGAATAACCTTTTTACCCTCAGCACTTCTTATAAGTTGTCTTCTTATTATTGATTTAGTGTCCAACGTCTTTTCCTTTAAAATATCTTTTGATGGTGTATTATGACTGGTATGTAATTGTTTCTCTTTAGGTAATAAATTTTCGTTCGAAGAAGAATGCACAGAAATAGAGCTAGTGGAACTGGTAGAATAATCATTAATATCAAAATCATCATCCCTGCTATCGTCATCCTCAAGTTCGCGATCAATAGAGTTTGTTTCCGATATATAGGTACGGTTGCAGGGGGTAGTATCCAAAGGCTTTTTGCTTGGGTAGTCAGATTTTCCTGGTAAATCATAATTTTGCAAATTTTCATTAAGTGGGTGAATTGACACTGTTTCAAGGGCTTGAGAAGATTCAGAAACGACCGCAGTTTGATTTGGGAAGTCATTTCTCAAAAATGGACTTAACGGCGTGAGTTGGGAATACACTATGTCTTGAGAAGTATTTAATTCAGAAGCAGAAATTTGTATTAGGTTATGAGAATCCTCATTGTCTAAGTTATCGTCATTAAGAAGATCTTTTAGTATGTTATCAACAAACGTATTATTAATATTATTTGAATCATCCGAAATGTCATTAAAATCAGTGGTAGAGACCCATTCCTGGAAAAGCGTGATCAAATGAAACAACTTGATAAATCTACTATTTTAATAGCAGAAACACTTACAGCTACTTTCGTATGTGTATCATTATTGTCAGGCTGGAGAAGTGTTTTAGAACTATTCTCTTTAACTATAAACGGATAAAAACGTGCTCATTAAAGAAAACACAGATGGTTCATTTTATTTTGTAATTAGTTAAGTTAAAAAGGTTATTTAAGTACAAAAATGTGTGCAATGAAACAACTGACGGGAAAATTATTTGGAAGAATAACTTCTATATAAGTTCTATTTTCTATAATTGAAAAACGAGGACCTATATGATTTTCTCTTATTTTTAGCAATAACACTTTTCATTTGTTTTAACATAACTACTCATAAATTTCTAACGAAAGAATTTAATTATTCTATTAAATACAGGGTGTTCTACTTCAATCTTGTTCTTCCATAACTCTTTTACTTTAGATTTAGGAAGAAGGTGTTTCCAATAAAAGTTGTGTAGACTCATTTGGAGCTTGTAGAGAAAATATTTTCTGTTATGCAGGGTGTTCCGTTTAATTATATATATACTCCCGTGCAAATTAGCCATTAGTCACCCTTAATTATTTACCTAGCAAACGCTACTTTACATACCCCCCTACCACCCAACACCTCAAATCACCCCATCAATCCTATACTCGTATCAACTCCCTCTACAAACCCATCCCAAGGAGTTGGTTGTTATAAACCCCCTCCCCTAAACACCCAAGATTTGATTATTCACAATACAGAAATAGTTATTTTATATTACTTACCATCTTTTTTTGCTAATTCTAGCATAAGCAGACTTCTTGAATTCATCATTCCGCCTGGAAGTGGTAACGACACTAACACAATAATTTTAAAACCTCTTCAGTTCAAATGTTATACAGAAAAGTAGCGAAAACACATTTACTGCTGTTGCCAGATCTACCCACAAATTTGAAGTGTTAACGTATCACGAATATAGCGGAAGTAGGTTGGTACTGCCCGTAGTACTCGCTAATAGACGATCCTAGCGCCAGCGATCGGTTGCTGAACTAAGGCCGACTTTTATAGGGGAGTATGCAGCGTTGTGACTTCCATGCATAATTTCCCCATTAGCCCCCCTTTGACCCCTTTGTTCATCCTAAACTTAAAAGCATGGGAAACGTTGTGACTTCCGAAAGTGGAAGTCAGAACGTTATATATGAAGTGACAACGAATGATGAGTATCTGATTTGGAAGTGACAAAGTATAGTTTGTACATATATATATATNATAATTAATACTAAAACTACAAGTAATAAAAATGAAACCAGAAATATATATAATTTTCATGAATTAAAACAGTGGTATTGAATGAAAGGAAAATATCAACAAAATACAAAATTCCTGAAATAGATCAAATAACAAAGTAATTTATAAAAAGATATACCCCTTTTGGAGTAGGTAAATACTTTCTCTATAAAGGGATGAAAGTTCACTAGATTGACTAGTAATTGCCTCTTCAGTAATCGTTAGTGTCTAATCCTAAAAATTGAATAAGAAATAATATAACTTTCAGCAAAGCATGTTCTGAACTATAGTTATTCTAATCTTCCTGTTAGTGTAAAAGCTTCTTGAAAATGCGCTTCTTTCTAACCAGATGTTTTGCAATGTAGTTACCGAAAAATCGAAACCTAAAATAAAGTTTAAGTGTAAAGTAGGATGTGCACAATTAAGTTATGTCCAAAAATTTACTTACCCTGTACAACACTGACCACAAAAACTAACAGATTACCATCTTTTCAAAATAAAAATTTGCTTAAACTATATCGCAGTAACTAATTACAAAACACCAGAAAAGTACAACTCAATTTTCGAGCTGACGAATGCAATATTGGTTTAATTTTGTTAAGAAGTTTTACGCCAACACTATACAAAATTGCAAATTATGGGGGAATTACAAATCATAAACAAACAAGGGCATATGCAATACATGTACAATGTCTGCAGGCGGAATCTGTTGATAATTTATTGAAACGGCAATTTTCGTATTATCGGTTGCTACTAACTGATTAGTTTCTAAAGCCAGTTAAAATGACTCCTTTTGGACATATCCATCAGGGGTCAAACCAGTCGAAGAACCCTATAGGTGCAATAGATAGTCATAGATAATAGGCAATAGCAGTGCATATACAAGGATAATGCATTGAAAGTGTTTTTAACAAAATTATGCTTTACATGTTTCTGAAAGACTATTTTTTGTTCAATTTGCAGGATTAGATACTAACAATAATTGAAGCGGCAGTTGCTGATCCACTTGTGAACATTCACCCTTCTCTGTAGAAAAAGTACCTATGTATTCCAAAAAGGATAAATGTGTAGATAAGTTATTTTCTTATCATCTATTTCGATACTTTATATATTTTGGTAGTATTGTCCATATTTTCCTTTCATTAAATGGCAGTGTTTTAATTCATGAAAATTATAAATATTTCTATGTTAATTTTTATTATTTATATTTCAGTATTAATTATTACTACAATTAAGATATGCACCGTTGTTTGTAGTGTTTATTAATATATAAATAATTCGCTGTGTCCCTTGTATTTTAATAAAAATAATCCTGTCCAAAATTTTCCAAAAAAAAAACTGACAAATTGAAAAAGACAATCATTTAAGGTTTGTAACAAACCATTCTGTTACAATAACAAAAACTATTTACTGCAAATTACAAAACCATTGATCGCAGTTGTGACATCTAAAAACAGGAATTAGTTCTAAAATGAATGAGGTATGTCCTTTATGTGTGTGTAAACATATGGATAATAATATATCTACAGTTGAGTACATAAAAACTCAAGGAGGAAAGAAATAATATTGCTGTTAAGATATTTTGGATGTAGTAAGAAATTCTGTGAGTAACCGTAAAATTTAAAAAATCCATTAATTTCCCAGAAAAGATTTACATAATATTGAAAGTATTATACTATCAGAAATGTTTATGTATAACTTGACTGCAGTATATTGTAATGCTTAGTGGCAAATAAAGCATGTAAATTTTCAGTAACTGCAGTTTTTATAGTCTTAAAAAACTTAAAATTATTTATTTTGAGTGTTCTGTCAATTAGGCTATTTAGCTACAGGCACTTATATAATTATTTCCATAGTTTGCAATTTGAAAAGGTAGAAAAACTTAAAAGTTGTCCATTACTGATCTTCATGAGCTAAATAAAAATGATATTGTATCCATCCTAGATTTAAAAAATCTATTCCAATCCGAATGGGAATATAGGAAGTAATATGGAAACTGTCGGTGATTTTAATAAAAGGAAAAATGTTACTTATGATTCTAATAACAAAATAGCTAAGTACTAATTTCTTTTGGGATAAAATGTTACAAATAGTTTTTAATTTGAAAGATGATTAGAATAGTAGTAATATTTATTTATAAATAAATCTTTACAATACAGTGTTGGAATGTTTTTTCTAAATATAAATGTAGAATAAGATCGCTAATAATTTAGTAAGAAGGTATTGTAAAAGGAAAAAAGCCTAAACTCGTTATCTTAAGCAGACAATTATTTCTTTATTTTAAAAATGGTGAAACGGTACAAATTATTTCCAATTTGTATTTTATGTTATGCGCCTCCATTATTTGGATTTATTCATGTTGACACGCATGCGTTCATTTTTGGGGGAACTGTAATTTGAATGTCTCTAGAGGATTCCCCAAAAAAATTCGCTTACGAATCCAGTTTATTCTATCAATTTGAGCCCGCGTAACGGTTAAGTGGTTTCTGCCTTTTATTAATCCAAGAACCTAGAACCTTCAAGATGTTTGCTTTATATAAGAATTCCGATGGAATTTATCAAGTATGTGATAGATGTTCTTTTAGTAGAAGCGAAGCTGATTCACCAATTGAAAAGAAAATGGTCTTATTAGCTTATAATGGTTTGTTAATTTTTCCAGATTTTTTGAAATCATTTTACTAATATCAAAATATGTTATGCATTCATTTTACTAGTTAATATTTAATTAATATGTTCTTATACTTTTGGATTATTCGTGAGGTAACTAATTCTAACTTTTTATAATACATATTAAGATTTCCATTGGGTAAATTTATTTTTTTTTTTTTGATATCAGGCTGAAAAGATGACGAAAATAGAAATTACGTAAAGAGCTTTGAGAATCTTTGTACTAAATCAATTATAACACTAATTTTGTTCAGTTTTAAATGGTTACTTTCTTATATTATTTGTAGATGACAAGATAATGTTGGATCAGTTATGTTACAATCTGAATTGTAAATCACCTCGAATCGATTTACGTAATGAGGACCGTAGTAAATCAGATTCAAAACGCAACAATGGCCCATGTATTGTTGATGATCAATTCATAAAACCTAAAAAAATCGTATTTCGATTGTCAACACCTGAAAAGGGTTGGTATTTTTGTTACTTATGGAACTAGTTTTTATGCAAAATTCAATACATTATTGATACTGTTAATTGCTTTCCTTTTCTTTTTCATTCACTTTTAAGATATAAATACGAGTTATCAAGAAAAAGTAGATGAGTCTGGATCACTTTATAATCCATCTGATACTGACATTACTACAGAAAGTGAAGTGCAAAATAGTAAAAATGAAAGTATCATCAATGAATCTGCGAATATGGACCTTTCCTCTCCTGTTGTGGATCAGAATTATACTGATGAGGCAGTTAATACAAAATTGTCATTCAATGTTCCTGGAAATTCTGCTGTTGATGACAACGATTTGATAGTCGATTCATCTGAAGGAAGAAAGAAAAATTTTTGTTTTTTCTGTAAAACCTATCAATCCCAATTAGCACGACATCTAATTCACAAACATTGTGCAGAAAAGGAAGTTACAGAATTGAAAAACCTTCCCCCAAAATCTATAGAAAGAAAAAGATTAATTGCGCAAATAAGAAAAAATGGAAATTTTTTGCTTTTAGATAAAAACTTCAGTGATGGTAAATTAATACCTCTTCGGCGACCAACAAATGAAAAAAAATATTCTGCTAAAGATTATATTGTTTGCCCTGACTGTAAAGGTCTATACACCAAGAATAATATTCGCCATCATTATTCCAATTGTACCGGTCAAGCTAAAAGTAGCAGGGGTATTTTAAAAATTGCACGGGCTGTAATTGGTCGAATTCATGAACGTGCGTCAATCCGAATGAGACAAAAAGTAATACCGCGGATGCATGAGGATGATATTGTTAGAATTATTAGATATGATTTATTACTTATATTATATGGTAATGATTTATGTCTCAGACACCGTCGAGAATATCGTGATAAAATGATAAGACAAAATTTGCGTCAATGCGGTAAATTCTTGCTGTTTCTAAAGGCAAAAAATTCTAAAATTACAGATTTTTCTTCAATTTACGACACAAATCATTACCATTTTATCCTAGACAGTATTGATGCATTTATTGGACTGGATGAGGATACTGGGCATTATAAATCTGCAAGTAGTGCAACATCACTAGCACGACATATAAAGGAGATCGGAAAAATTTACATAAATGAATGCATTATAATAAAAGATCGCGAAAAAGAAAAAGAAATAAAAAAATTCTTGCATTTGTGTGGAACAGGTTTCGCTACAGTTACAAATAAGACTGCAATGGAAACATTAGTTGCTCAACAACGAAAAAAAGTTGTTACTTTACCATTATCGAACGATATTGCACTTTTAAATAGTTATTTAGATAAGGTAATCGACGAATATTACAGTACATTGAAATTGGAGTTTTCTGTTGTTGTATGGCAAAAACTGGCCGAAGCTCTTCTCACAAGAGTCCAAGTATTCAACCGACGACGGCCTGGAGATATCGAACGATTGGAAGTAGCCGATATGAAGAATGTGCACTCTATTAATGAACACGATGAAGATTATAAAAGTTTGTCAAAAGATGAGAGAGAAGCTGCAAAAGAGTATGTGAGAGTATCAATGAGAGGGAAACTGAATCAAAACGTTCCAATCCTGCTTACAAAAAGATGGCACGAAATAATGTTACTACTAATAAAATTGAGACGTGAAGCTGGCGTGAAACCAAAAAATATTTACGTTTTTGGAATTCCGGGGATTGATGATCAAGCTGTTCTGATTGCAACAGCACTACTTCGAAAGTTTTCAGAAAAATGCGACGCTAAAAATCCGAAAGCTCTACGAGCCACTCCGCTTCGAAAACACGCTGCAACTAAATGTGCACAACTTGGCCTAGATGAAGCCAATACTGTAAATTTTGCAAAATTTATGGGCCATGATTTGAAAATTCATAAAAATATTTACAGGCAATCAGTTGCAAAAACTGATATCCTTGGGATATCAAAGGTATTAGAAACGGCATCGAAATCGAAGCAAAACGACAGTTTAAGTGACGTAAACCAATTTTCATCATCGCAATCAGATCTAGATGTAGGAAGTATTGATGATACTATGGACTCCTCAACAGATATTAATAAAATTATTCATAAATACTCTAATAAAGGTCATTCACAAAAAAAATGGAAAGGAAAAAATCCTCGTCATGATAAGTGCAAAAAAACTAGCACTGCAATAAAGACAAGGTGGACAAAAGAAGAGATTCGCTGTATCAAAACCCATTTTGCTGACAACCTAAGGACGGGGAAGTTACCACCCTTACCTCACATAAGAGATATTCAGAAGAATTACGGCATCCTGAAGAATCGTGAACCACAGGTGATCAAAGCATGGATAAATAATCAGCTCGTACATAAAAAAAGAAGCAATAAATAAATGCTTCGCTGTTTTTCTTATTTTATAATTTTTCATTTAAACATTGTATTTGTTTAGTATTGTAATACAAATATATATAATAACTAAAATTTGTCATCACAATTATTTTTAAGATTCTTTTGTATACTGCTTTGAATAAATTATTCAGTTAATAATAATCAATTAAATATGCATCGATCGTAAATAAAACATTAACAGTAAAGTTAAAAAACAATTCAGTATGAAGATAAGTAATGATGCAATGTTCGTATTTACAATTGGCTTATTCCGAAAAAATTTTTTTTGTTGTACGATTTTGTGTAGTACTCAATATTCCGTTTACGCATTGGGGCACAATTTTCGTTGTGATAGGTACGTAGTTTTTCTAATATGTTGGCTGTCATCTAATGGACCTTAACGCGAGTGCATTTTCTTCGGCTGATCCGTAACTTAATACCAAACATAACAATAACGTTACAGCAAAAAGCAGATGATTCCGACCTACTGAAGACGAATTTTTCTAGGATCAGCTGGCAATTGTAATTAATTTGCGATTGTGCAGGGCCGGCATCAAAACTGTTATAATTTTATAATTTTTTGTTTGAAAAGTCAAAAGTGTTATAACATTTTATGTTCAAAATGTCCGTAGGAATCTGTGGTATAAATATTATTTGTTATAACTCAAACACCCTATACATCCTGAATCTACCGCTTTGCAGCCCACAAAACATTAAATTGTTGGTATCTGCTTGTATCTCTATCAATTGAGGAATTATTTTAGGTTCCACTGTATATCTAACACTTCTCTCGTTAATTAAACGACTCACTTTGTCTACATACGTACTTCAATTAAAACTGCCTATACTTATTTTCTATCATAACGTCTACTAAAAATATTTAAGATTTACATAAAGGACAATGAATGATTTTGAAATATGAATTATGAAAAGATGTGCCAAGAATCGAACTAGTTAAGAGTCAAAAAGCAAGTGTTCTATATGTTTTTAAGTGTCGTGCATCGTATCGTGATGGGTGTTGGTCCTTGTTTCTTATAAAAAAAGCAGACACTTCGAGAGACAGGAAGGTACCTACGAGGGTCGAAGTTTCAAGTCACAAGTACTCTCGTCTTTTCATTGCTCCAAAACGTAGTTTGAAGTTTTTAAAATACCGGCTTAAAATAAGAAAAACGTTTCTCAACTACTACTACAAGTATGCATTATAACAAATTTAATGTGGTAATTATATTGCTGAACATTCACACCTCCGATGATCTTGAAAATACAATATGTTGTAGCGGTGATTACCTAGATTAATTTTATGTATACATGTTAGGCGTGGAAAGCATAAGTAAGCGTAGTTTATTGATGTTGAAAATTATAACAAATACATCGATTTGCTTTTTCACGTGTTTCCACTAGAAATAGATTATTCCTTAAACGAATAAAAACATAATCAAGGTACAAAAAGCTTTATTATTGTGTTCGTACCTACAATGCTCTTAATTAATTATATTAATTTTTAAAGTTAAAAAACTATGTGAAATAATGTTTACCGAGCCCAACATATAGGGTGTCCCAGTTTTAATAATTAATATTTATACCACAGATTCCTACGGACATTTGGAACATAAAATGTTATAACAGTTTTGATGTCGGCCCTGCACAATCACAAATTAATTATGATTGCCAGCTGATCGTAGAAAAATTCACCTTCAGTACGTCGGAATCAGCTGCTTTTTGGGGTAATGTTATTGTTTATGTTTGGTATTAAGTTACGGATCAGCCGAAGAAAATGCACTCGCGTTAAGGTCCATTAGATGACTGAACATGTTAGAAAAACTACGTATCTATCACAATCGAAAATCCCATGATCGTAAACTGAAGTGGACCTAATGTAGCCCATGACGTTGAGTATTATGATATCTTAAATAGAAAAGAAATTATAACAACTACGGAATAGTTAGAAGCGGTGCACAAACAACCCTGGCCACCCAGCGTTTGGTAAAGGTTTGTAACATAACGTACTAGTGTACGAAAATAAATGTATGTTTTATGGTTTTAAAAGTTCAGACAAGATGTAGACCTGTTTTGATCAATCATTTGTGTTAAACTTCTCATTCTAACGTTAGTTTTGCCTGGCAGGGCTCATTAACCCCCACGTGGAGTAATACAAGGATGTGTCCAGAAGGACCAAGTTGGTTATTTTGTTTTCATTAAATGTAAAAAGCTAAATATTGATATAACCTCCTATAATTACACTGCTGGAGGTGACTGGAATAAATACACATAATGTCGAAGTTTCAATGAAGTTGTTCAGTTTGTTTTGGATTGTTGTGGAATTTACTTCTTTGTTAGTGTTAGTTTATTTATTTAGTGGTCATTTTATAGAATACTATTACAATAAGGATAATTAGTAGTGTGATAGTGCATTCTAGTAGGGTTCTTATTCAACCATCAGTTGGTGGTGAGTTACATAACCAATGCCTATCGTATAATTCGAAATATTCCCGGTATCTGGGCCAAAATTCGCAGCAAGTGGATCCGCCGCTGTCACTGTTGCATTGAAGCGAATGGCGGGCAATTTCAACATTTTTTTTAAAGATAGGCTTTTCGTTTTCACTTTTACCTTTTTTTTTACAAGGTGGAAGTGCATTCGGCTTCTTCCCGGTAGGTGCTTGTTACACCTGCACTAGATCAGCTGAACGACGTTAGTAGCCTAGATCCAGGCCCGTAATAAAACAAATTGTACGTTCAAATTTACAAAGACGATTTGCGAGCTCAATTGTCACTGGATTGAGAAATTGTATAACACTTTTTTGTTGTATTGTGTGTCACGAAACCATGGTTTTTTTTTATTATAAATGGGACACCCTGTATATACATATTTACGTTCAGCGTGTCGAATAGTACAACATACTAAATTTTCAAGGTCATCGGAGTTGTGAGGGTTCAGAAATATAATTATCCAGGTAAATTTGTAATACTGTAAGGGTGTGAGGCAATACCAGTCACTTATTTACGTTATAGGGGCGTACATATCTACCGCCGCATCATACCAATCGTATTCTAATGTACTTGTATACTATTGTTTTGTATTAAATACACCTATTTTGCTAATGTGGGTGCTTTAATTTATTGTGTTTTGCAATGAACGATTATTAGACTTCCTACATAATAAGCGTGACGGACTGATGCCTTGACATCGAGTTTGACTACGTTGTTACTTACTGATAATATGTTAATTAATAAACAGAACACCTATTGGAAATACGTATGTGTGTTCGTTTCTGAACTGGAATAAAAATAAACAACGATTGTTGGTATAACAAAAATACAGAACGAGAATCAATTTTCTATACCATTTTACTTATTCCTCATTACAAATAAAAATTATCTGTGATAATTTAACTAAGAGAAAAAAATAAAAATTCAAAAGAATGTTCCAAGTGAATATACATATTTTGAAATATCTCGACATTCAAATATTAATCACAATGAATTGCTCTTGATTAAGACCGTCCGGTCGAAACATATGTCGAGTTCTTTTCGAATTATAATAAGTTAAAACATTTTTAAAATTTTTATTTTTACAAATTAGGTCAGTAAACATTAAACATTAAATTACAAAAATCTTATATAAGTACGTATGTACCTAAAAACCTGTTGAGTAGTAGGTAGGTACCTAATTTGTATGCTGTTGTAATGAACCTCACAGGAAATAAAAGTCGTCGGTAGTTCTCTTATTTATTAAAAAACACATAAGTTATAACTAACAAAAGATTGACGAAAACTGATCAAAACACGATTTAGAGATTTTCTCTTTGAGACTGTAGGACCGTATCTCCTGGTTATGGAAAAAAAGACGGTTTTATAGACTGATTCATATACATACACAAAAGTAAAAGAATAAATTGATAATGTTCGCAATAGTATTCCATGGGAAAGTTACTATTTCCCAAAGTTTGAAATAGATTATTAATTAATGTAACTGTTGAGATAAACTGTAATTGTTTACAATTCCAGCGGAAGCTATTATTTGAACATTATTACAGTGTCCACATATTTCTTAGTAAATAAAATAAAATAGGCAGTTATCTAAAGACAATACATTTTGAAATAAAATTGGATATTACAATATACAGTCTGTTATTGAATACTAAAATACATTATGATTATGTTTTATTATATCATATATAAAGGTAGGTACATTACACTGTAAATAGTGTAGAATTGACAAAAATAAGCCTTTTTGGAATTTCTGAGATCGGCATTTTTGCTTAAACAAGATAAATAATTATCTAGTTATATTATTAGTTGGGGTGTTAACATTTCTTCGAAGAAATATAGTATTTTTCAAAATAAGCTATAGAAAAATATAATACAATTAACAAAATACCTACAGTATTTTATGGAAAAAGCAAAAATAGACAAATATATGTTTGTTTCTTATTTATTTTTATTAAAACTATATTTTTTGCACTTATTGCATTTTTTAACAATTTTCTGTCTACAATAATAATGTCATAAGCTCTGTTAGATTCAATTTTTAAATTAATGTAAACCAAAAGCAAGAATGAAATTACTTTAACCATTTCTGGCCTGTAATTTTGTCAGTAAATTCACTACAATTTTTTACTTTTACAAAGATTTCATTTAATATTTATATATTTCTTATTAAAACTATATTTTTTGCACTTATTGCATTTTTTAACAATTTTCTGTCTACAATAATAATGTCATAAGCTCTGTTAGATTCAATTTTTAAATTAATGTAAACTAAAAGCAAGAATGAAATTACTTTAACCATTTCTGGCCTGTAATTTTGTCAGTAAACTCACTACAATTTTTTACTTTTACAAAGATTTCATTTAATATTTATATATTTCTTATAAATTCNCAATGCGTGGAATGAGTGTTAAGTGGATGAACTAAATCAATCTTGGACGGTGTGAAGAGAGGTTATATGACACTTCCAGAAATCCATTTTGATGTGTTCCTATGCGGTAACCCACCAAAAAACTCGGGGCAGCAACAACCTCTATACGTGGAAGGAGAAATAAATGGATGAACTAAATCGTCATTAGACGCTGTGATACGAGGATATATGACATTTTCAGTAACCTATCTTGATGCGTTCCTCAGCGGTAGTCCACCAAAGAACTAGAGGTAGCTACAGCCTCTATAAGCGGAAGGAGAATTAAATGCATGAACTGTATCTTCANCTGTACGTTCAATGCGTGGAATGAGTGTTAAGTGGATGAACTAAATCAATCTTGGACGCTGTGATACGAGGATATATGACATTTTCAGTAACCTATCTTGATGCGTTCCTCAGCGGTAGTCCACCAAAGAACTAGAGGTAGCTACAGCCTCTATAAGCG